AGCAGATGACTTGATTAGCCCTGGCAATACTCTGCCAGCCTTTAGCTACCTCAGCAGTGCACAGGATGCCACAGACAGCAAGGGGCATGGGGGTGTGAGAGATGGCAGGGCTCAGTAGCCCTCTGCAGCTTATCTTATACTCATCAGAGGTGAAATTTTATTGCTCTTCTGTAACCATGCGTTGTTGTAAGTAAATAGTGTTACCATTTGTATCTATTGCATTAACAATATGGAAAAGCATTTTTCTTTTCAGAGAAAGTTGCCATTAAGATTTTGGACAAGACAAAGCTAGACCGGAAGACTCAACAATTGCTATCTCGTGAGATATCCAGCATGGAAAAACTGCACCACCCAAATATCATCAGACTCTATGAAGTGGTGGAGACACTCTCAAAACTGCACCTGGTGATGGAGTATGCCGGAGGTGGGGAGCTCTTCACTAAAATCAGTACAGAAGGGAAGCTGCTAGAAACGGAGTGTAAAATCATCTTCTCCCAGATTGTGTCTGCTGTGAAGCACATGGTAAGCTGCTCTTCCTCCAGAGGCATGTTGTCCCTCACAGCTCTAGCAGATTTTGGGGATGTATCTTTTGGTTTTCAACTAGTATGTTTATTGTCATTAAGATTTCAGGCCCACATTTCTGAAGAGCAAAACAGCTAGAGAAGCACTGTCTTAAAGGTATGTTGGAGAGCTTTCACATCCACTTTGAGTTGTTACTGCCTCTCTTTTGGGAGGAGACTGAATGGGGAACACCTAGGTGGGTGGAACCATCCCTGCAGCAGCAGCATTCTCCTGCCTGTTTTATACTGCTGTAGGCATCAGCTGTCAAAGCTTCACTTCTTCCCTCTAGCTATTTAAAAACATAGGATAAGTCACTCTTCCACTGGAAGACAGTGTTCCAGACAAGAGGCTTGTTAGGTGTTGCAAACATCCAGCTTGCTATTAGTGAACGTGGGAGACTGGCATTTAAGTCAGTTAATTCCTTGCTTTGGCACAAATCAGCGACGTTAACACCGAGCAAGTCACTTCCTCTTGCCTAGTCGTCAGTATTGCAGCTGGATTTAGGATGATGTTATTTGTGTAGAGCCCAAAGTATCTTATAAAGACAGAAAAGGAGCAATTAACTACTTAAGTCCCATCTCCTCTGAACCTCGAATAGTAAAACAACAACGTAAGAACACGGGAAGACTGTTCTGCCAAGTCTGAGAAGTAAAAGTAGTATTTGTAAATTAGGCTCAGGGTGCCCTCCGGTGGCTCACGTTCTCCTGCCACGTAACAGCCTCAGGTGAAGTCAAAAGCAAGGATGTTCCCAGGTCAGACATCTAGAAACTGCATTACAAACGGCTCGTGGCATATACAAACAGTATGCGTTTTTTATATATTTTGACAAAATGGCCACATGCCCTGTAAGTGATGGATTAGCTTCAACACCTTGTCCACAGGACAGGTACTCAGCAGCTACTGCAACTTAACTTTATGTTTCAAGATCACATCTACGTCTTAGCATTAAACCCAGGCAACCAAGCTGGCCAACCTCTTCACCTGGACACACAGACTTCTGCAAAACAGTTTACTTTTGCCAAGCTATCAAATCCAGGCTACTTAAATCGCATCTCACTGCTGCCAGTCCACACAAGGACAGAAGATCCCTGCCTGTTATCGATGACAGTTTAAAAAGCTTAGGATGCTGAAGGGTTTGTTTCCCTACTATCTCCAGATACATGCACCTTGTTACTTCAAATGGTAGAGCAGAGAGTTATTTCAAAGATGAAGCTAAACCCATACCTATCAAGACAGGTATACTACCACTAAGCAGAGCAAACTCAGTCCTTGGCTGCTACTGCCACTTCCAAGGGGAAAAAGTGCAAGTGACAGTGTACATATTTTAGATTTCTAAAACTAGAGGACATTACTGAACTTGGTGTCCTGCAACCACATGAAATACCACCAGGCACAAATCCATGGTCCTTTTCTCCTGCCACCACCAGTTCCTCAAGGGACATTAGATCACACAACAGAATGGTAGAATCTTACTTTATCTGTGATTATGTTCACTTGGTGAACTAAATGCTTTCACATTCCTAAGTCCACAAGCTTACAATATATACAGAAATTGAATGAGTTAAAAAAAATACTTTTTGTTACTTATCATCACACAAATGTAGTAATTGCAAAAGCAAGTTTTCTGAACTCTGACAAAATACAAATTTTGCACATGAAGATACCTAGTCTTGTAGGAATAGCCATGAAGCCGTCACAAATCTGCTTCATGAAAATAGTTTATATTAGTTAACAAGTTGAGACTGCTATTCTTAAAACACCCAGCGTCCTTCTTCCCATCTTCTCCACCTACTCTACCATTTTCCTATCAGTAGGGAATTAAGTTAAATTTGTTTAAATACTTTAACTGCTCAGTTTCATTGCAGTGCTTAGTTCTGACTTTGTCCCAGACAACTCCCTTTCTCCTGTGTGGTAATTAATCAATGATAACAGCCAGCCACTCGAGAACTTTCCTGTTCCTAATACCAAATTTTCTTCTCGTTCTACAGCACGAGAATAATATCATTCACCGGGACTTGAAAGCAGAGAACGTCTTCTACACCAGTAACACCTGTGTTAAGGTGGGAGACTTTGGATTCAGCACAATAAGTAAAAGAGATGAAACTTTAAACACTTTCTGTGG